AGGATTGGCAAGAGGTCAAGGCAACCCTGGGCTACATAGTAAGTTCAAGTCCAGCCTGAACTATATAGCAAGACCCTGTTTCAAAAAGATAAATAAGTAAATAAATAAATAAAGTGAAATTAGATTTGGTGTTTAAATTCTCTTCCAATCTCAAGTTTAAAGAATTTTGCCGGGTGTGGTGGTGCATGCCTGTAATCTCAGCACTCTGGGAGGCTGAAGCAGGAGGATTGCAAGTTCAAGCCCAGCCTGGACAACTTAGTGATTTAGTGAGGCCTTGTCTCAAAATAAAAAATAAAAAAGGACTGGGATGTATCTCAATGTGAAGGCCCTGGGCCCAATTCCCAGTACTGCAAAAAGAAAAAACAAAAAAAGATACAGAGGGAAATGAGAAGTATAGAATTATTTCACATGTCTATCACTCTCTCCATTTACCTCACAAGGACTTCAGGTGCACAGTGCATTCTGCAGGCCACAGGGGCAAGTGCAGGCCGCAGCCCTGCAGTCCAGAAAGCCCTGGCGACCCCTCTCCTGCTGGTGGTGTAGTGTGGGAGGTGAGAACACTGCCTTTGAGTTTGGGTCTTCCTAGCCAGTCCCAGAGCAACTGCTCAGCAATTAATTAATTAATTAATTAACAATCAGCGCACGGCCTCCAGTGGGGAAGCAGGGCTGAGCTTCCAATGCTAATAGCTGGCCCCTTTATAGCGCTTTAGGGCTCCCAGCCGGGCTGGCACGAAGACAGTGCAGGAGGCTGGGAGTCTCATTTGTACCCGAGTGCTTGCCAGCTTCTATCTAGTGAGATTAATTAAAACCTTTACAAGTGCAAGTTGGAGCCATAAAATATTAACATCCGCGTCACTGGTGATCTGTTAATGCACAGAAATAGCCCCGGGCTGTTCAAGGAGATGGGGGCTTTGCCTGGCGTGGTGGGGAGCACTGGTTCCCCACGCTTTGAAGTAGAAGCTCCTTGGTGGGGTGGCCAGAGCAGCTTACGTCGGGTGTCGCAGCCCCTGACACCGTCACCAAGTCACTGAGTGCTCTCTTTGGGACGGACGGTTCGTCTCGGCGTCTTTCCTGTTCTACTTCTCAGCATTCTTAGCTAGCCAATGCATGAAACTCTAGAGGGAAAGGGCCACCTCTTCGGGGACAAGGTGTGTAGTTCCAGGGACAAGGACAAGTTCAGGTATTAGGCTGATGTTTCTCCCACTCACCGTTGCACTATCAGGAGTTTACATGAAAAGAAATATACAAGGTTAGAATTTTTTACAATTTTGTTTTTTGGGACAGGTTCTTGCTATGTTGTCCAAGCTGGCTCTGAACTTGCCATGAACCCCAGGCTAGCTTTGAACTTGAGATCCTCCTGCCTCAGCCTCCTGAGTGCTAAGATTACAGGCATCCACCACCACACCCAGGATAATACTAGAATTTTAGAACTTTAAGATGTTGAAAGGTTCCACATGTGTCTCTGACACAGAACTCATACAGTGCCAAGGAGTAGAACCCATGAGGTACTTCCTGCTACCAGCCCAGGCTGTCTTCTAAAGGACAGTAGCACGTGGGAACATCAGAACCAATGAGGCTTGGGCCAGGGATTTAGCTCAGTGGTTTCACCACCTGCTGCACAAGCGCAAGGACCCGAGTTCGATCCTTGGTACCAAAAAAAAAAAAGAACCAATGAGGCTAATGTGGACCATGTCACAAGAGGGCTCCAGAACTGCTTCAGATGGTGGCAGGAACCATGGGATAAGTGTGTTGGGACCAAGGGGAAGGATTTTGAAGGGGGTTAATGGCAATGTGTTTTACTATAATAAAATGAAAAAGAATATACATTTGCATCATATATTTCAGTTACCTCCCATAGACTCACAGGGGACAGCTGCATGGAAAAGGAAGCCTGTTCTTTGTGTGCTGAACGTTCACCCTACCTATTACCTCTAAGCCAGCAGGCAGATTCAAATTCTGGGCTCTCACTGAGCTGGGCTTTATTACTTCCACCAGGGTCTAGCACAGTAGTTGCCTCCCCAGGCTCCCGGCGTCAGAACACAGGGCATTGCACCAAAGCCTGCTTCCCACACAGTTTCCTACTTCTGACATAGACAGCTAAGTAGAAATATTATGGGCAGTCAGACAGGGCTGGGCCCTCAAAGTCAATGCGGAGGATGAGAACACATCAAAACTGTGGCTGGAGGTGCATCTCTAGAAGGTTAAAGTTCACAGTGGCCAGATTTGCATACTTTCCTAAGGGATGAACAGAAGCTTGAGATTATTGGTAGCGCCCTTTGGGGCTCTCTGGTGTAGATAAGACTATTATCTCATTGGGGGCGGGCCATCCTCCCCCATCCATTAAAACTAAGAAGACTAAGAAGATTTAAGACCAAGACTACAGATTATTGACCAAGGTTGATGATGTCATTCATATACCCTTGTTACTATTGGGTCAATATTACCTAAGCAACTATACTTGTAATCTTATTGATTGATTATAGTTTTTACTCTCGTTGTACCCACCCCTCATAACTTTGCTCTATATTTTTTTGTGTGTGTGTTTTGTTTTTTGGGGTTTTTTGGTACCGGAGATCAAACTTGGGTCCTTACGCTTGCAAGGCAGGCAGTGAAAGCACTGAGCTAAATCTCCGGCCCAACTTTGCTCTATAACACTTCCTTTGAGAAGTAGGCTTGTTGGGAATCCATTAGGGGCCTCTCCTGTCTCTCAGAAGCTATTCTTATTCCCCATTCCTATTCCCCCCAAATTTTCCTCCTCTTAACCTCTGCTGTTCCTTAGAATTCACTCTTTGACTTTGGGGAACATGAACTCGGGTGTATCTGACATCTAGAAGTTTTGGGAGTTATATCTAATTTTCCCATCTCACTTCCTCTCCCTGGGCTTCCTGGTCCAGATTAGAATAGTTGGAAAACGAGAAGTCTGTGAGGAACAGTACAAAGGTGGGGTCTCTTGCTAGGGCCCACTGGAGCAGCCGTGTCCTGCCTGCTTCCCCTGCACCTTCAGCCATCCAAGGCAGCCTGCACTGCCTACATGAGTCTGTTGCTCCCTGTCCCCTGTGGCAAGGCCAGGGGCACACACGCAGAGGGCTTCTGTTCCTTTGGGCCAGGAAGTGGTCCCTGGGCAGCTCAGACAAGATAAGCATGAAGATGTCCTTAAGACCTGAGGTCCTGGGGGTTGTGATAATGAGAGTGATCGTGAAGGAATGAGGTGGGCACCACTTGTGGGATGGCTCCGGGACCCGAGATTAGCATTTGCTTCTACAGCCACTTCCCGGCATGGTTCCGCCCTTCAGTGGGTGTCTGAATATTGGCATTAATCCTGCCCAAGCCCTGCTGTAGGGGACCAACCACACTGTCCCCAAATGGGATGCTGCACTGGTGGACACCTAGAGGAGGAGAATCTAGAGAATAGGCAAATGTGAGCTACCCAGGCACCCTCAAAGGAAAAGGGCTCAAAGGCATCATTTAAAGAGCTGCATAAGGCTAGGGATTTAGCTCAGTGGTTCTGCTGCCTGCCTTGCAAGGGCAAGGTCCCTGGTACCAAAAAAATAAAGAGCTACATAGGAGCTAGGCCGGATGGTGCAAGCTTATAAGCCCAGCACTGAGGAGGCTGAGGCAGGAGGATCAGTGCAAGTTCTAGGCCAGCCTGGAACAACATAGTGAGTTCAAGGCCAGCCTGAACTACACAGCAAGACCCTGTCTCAAAACAAAACAAAACAAAATGACTGCATATTTGGTTATATGGGTACATTGTAACTCATTTATCCAACTTCCTATTTTTAAATACTAGGGATGATGGTTTCAATAATTTTCTATTATAAATAATAATTTAATCATTTTAACCTAACATCTTCTATAGCTTTAAAACTTTCACAAAAAAAAAAAAACTTTCCTTGCTCTGAGTGTGGTGGAGCACGCCTGTAATCTCAGCACTCGAGAGACTGAGGCAGGAGAATTGCTTTGAGTTCGAGGCTAGCCTGGGCTACATAGTGAGTTCAAGGATAGCCTGAACCACAGAGGAAGACCCTGTCTCAAAAACAAAACAGGGGCTGGGGATTTAGCTCAGTGGTTTCACCACCTGCTGCACAAGCACAAGGACCCAAGTTTGATCCCCAGTACCAACCAAACAAACAAACAAAAATAAAAACAAACCTATAACTTTCCTTGGAATAGATTTCTAGAAAGGAAACCTCCAGATCAAAGGGTATAGATTTTGAGGGTTTGGTTTTTGTGTTTATTTGAGATGGTCTTGATATGTAGCCCAGGCTGATTTTGAACTATCCATCCTCCTGCCTCAGCCTCCACTCCCGGCTGGTTGCACATTTTTAGTGATTTTTAAAGTTTCTTGTGCACTTTCTGGTAATTGCCTATTGGCATACTGGGCACATTGCTTTCTACTGAGTTCTAGTATTCTCCCACTGATTTAGACAGTCTGAACTGGGCAATCTGCATGGCTGTGCTGTCCAGCCTGCCTGCTGGCCTTTGGAAATTCTCTGCTCCATTTGATCCCCATGAAGGATCCCAGAGATCCCAGGGTCTTGTGTCCGGCAAGCAAATTATTGCAAGTGTATGCCCAATGGTAAGAGAAAAAGCAGCTATGTTTATTGAAGACAACAGAAGGGTATGCATAGGGTGGGTCTGTACCAACAGGAACAAGAGGTGGCACCAACAGAAAAGTGGTGTCAGGACGACAGGAAAGTAAGTGTGCAGATAAGTCAGGCTTTCAGTTTTTAAAAGATGCACACCCAGCCCCCTCACTGGGTCTCTGGATAAGATTGACAGGGATGACTGACAGGGTGCTGAGTCATCTAGGGCACCCCATCCCCCACACCTGTCCCAGGGTTCACTCTGATTTAATCACACAGGTGAGATGTGGTCCAGAGGTAGGAACCTTAAACAAGGTTTGAGTGGGGAAAAGGTTCCTGAAGATCAGACTGTGGACCTGGCCAAGCTTTAGAGACTTCCTGGGTCTTTGTTGTTCTTACTTCTGCTTCTTTTAGGACAGTGGAAGGAGGATGGGCCCTGGGGTGCTGCCTGGACTGCAGTCACAGCAAAGCATCCCACCTTTTCCCAGAGAGCTCTACGGCCAACTCCAAGGAAAGACCGGACACCTGGCCCAGGCAGAGGCCTCACATGCAGACAGGGTGCAGGAATGGGTCCTCCAAACTGAATAACCCAATTATGAGTCATCTAAACACACTCCACCTGAACAGCTTCGTATGTTAGATCTGAAGGCATCAAACCAGACTCTGTTTTTATGCAGGGATGCAACAGATCCATTTTATTTAAACCATGGATTTTTTTTCCTTTTCAGTTTTTATTTTTAATTAGTCCATGCTTGTAGTACATAATGATTACATTGTGCCTGGAATTTAGCTCAGTGGTTCTGCTGCTGCCTGCCTTGAAAGTGCAAGGTCTGGAGTTCAATCCTCAGTACCAAAAGAAAAAAAAAAGACTATAATGATCACATTCCTTGTGTGGAGTGGTGCACATGCCTAACACATCTTAATCCTTTTTTCATCCCCTTTCCCTCTCCTCCCTTTTCTTCCTTCCCTCCATTACATGATCCCTTTCCCTTTTGCAAAAGATCTATGTCCCTCTTTCCTATTATCTTTCTTTCTTTCATTTTGTTTTTTATTTATACTTTGGGTTTCTCATACAAAAGAAACCATGCAATATTGAAGCTTGTGTCCCTGATTTATTTCACTTAACATTATTGTCTCAAGGTGCATCCATTTTCCCACAAATGACCCAAGTGTATCCTTCTTTATGGCAGAATAATACTCCATTGTGTATAAATACCACATTTTCTTTATCCATTCATTTTTAAAAAATGATAAATTTTTTTTGGTACAAGGGATTGAACTCAGGACCTTATGCCTATGAGGTAGGTGTGGTGCCATTGAGCTAAATCCACTGAGCCAATCCATTAATTTTTTAAAATTAATTTTATTGGTACATTTTAAATGTACATTCATCATAGAGAATTTGTTTTCTTTTGGTTTTGTTTTTGGTTTTTTTTTTTTGGTCCTGGGACTTGAACTCAAGGCCTTGCACTTGCCAGGCAGGTTGCTACACAGCTGAGCTACATTCCTGGCCCTTGAGCTACATTCCAGGCCCTCCATTCATTCATTTGTTAATAGACATATAGGCCACTGTTGCAGGTAGGCTGAACCACCCCCCCAACCCCCCACCCCGGCCCAGCATCAGAGCATGAAACTTGGAGCTGGAGCTCTAGAGCTCAAGAGCTGCATGTCCACGCAATTTTGCATAGCCCTGTGGTAGGCACGTGGTCATCCATGCTGATTCATTATTATTATAACAAAGTTCATAGTGCGCCTGTGCTAAACCACAGAATTGTGTCCTCAGGCGCCTGGGCTTTGACACTTCTGCTAGTGGCCCCCTGCGGCCACTTCCAAGGTTTAGGCACCATGAGTGTGCATGGATCACTGTAATATGATGTCTTTAATTCTTTCAGGAAGATATCTAGAAGATAAATAAATGGGTTGAATGGAATTTCTAGTTTCAGTTTTTTGAGGAATTGCCACACTGATTTCCATAGTGGTTGTACCAGTTTACATTCCCACCAACAATGTAGAAGGGTTCTTTTCCCCCCACCACCTTGCCAGCATTTGCTATTATTTGATTATTTTGTGTGTGTGTGTGTGGTACAGGACATTGAACTCAGGACCTTGTGCTTGCCAGGCAGGCGTGGCACCACTGAGCTATATCCTGGCTTGATTTCTTGATGATGGCGATTCTTCAATACAATATGGAATCTCGCTGGAGATTTAGCTCAGTGGCACTGCTGCCTGCCTCACAAGCGCAAGGTCTTGAGTTGGATCCCCCGTACCAAAAAAAAAAGTTTATTTGGAACACTAATGTATTGGAGAAGAACCAAGATCTAATTTTAAAAATAAGAAAGATAGAGATATCTAAATATACTACAAGGCTACAATAATTAAAATTGGCATAGAAATAAAAAGAATGAAAAAATTCTAGATGTAAGTTCATAGTAGGAAGTGAGCATTTGATAGTTTAAATTTCAAATTAGTGATAAAAAAAAGGTGAAGAAAAGATTTAAACATTAAAAATAAAACTATAAAAATACCAGAAAAAAATGTAGGGCATTTTTGTCATTTTGCTGTGGGGAAGGCTCCCCTAGGCAAGATACCATCCACTAGTGATAAAAAAAAATTTTAGATTTGGCCCCATGAAAAAATATAAACTTGTATGCTGGGCATGGTGGTGCACACCTCTAAACCCACCCATTGGGAGGTTGAGGTAGGAGGATGACCACAAGTTCGAGACCAGCCTGGGCTACATGGTGAGTTCAAGTCCAGCCTGAACTACATAGCAAGACCATGTCTCAAACAACCAAACCAAAAATAAAAGTAAACTTTTGGTTCACTGGGAGATGGCATCAACAAAATTAAAGGATAACATGAATGAAAAGTATATAATGATAAAAAACAACAGGAACCAACATTAATATAGGAATTATATTGCAGGGGTTTTACTGTTTTACATGAATTACCTGATTACCGAGGTATATAGTACTCCATTTTACAAACGGGGACACTGAACCTAGAAAGGTCACACATACCCTAAAAGGGTTTCCGTCTGTCCCGAGCATCTTCCGTTTGGGGTTGTTGAGCACCCAGTTCCATGGCCTGGCACATGAAGCAAGCCCTCTAAACCTCTTCTGGTTTGGAGTCAGAGAAGAAAGGGACTTCCCTTTGGGCTGAGAAAGAGTGAAAGATGTAAAATGGAGCTTTCCTATGGCATCATGGGAAAGGTCAAAGGTGAAAGGTCAAAGGAGAAACAGTTTTGAAGTCATTGGTTTGCTGAGTCCAGGTGCACCTGAGTCTAGATTTACCCTTAGGCTTGCAATTGCAAGTCAAGGAATTGCCTTTCTTTCTTCAGCTAAATTAAATGTCTATCTGACCCTCAACACCCCAGTGTCAGGCATGATGGTGCACCCTGTAATCCCAGGAGGCTGAGGCAGGAGGATGGCCATGAATTTGAGGCCAACTTGGGCTACACCGTGAATTTAAGGCCACCCTGGAATTCACACCAAGACCCTGTAAAAAAAAAAAAAAAAACTCCCACAAAAAGAACCTCAAATGTCCTGACTGGATGGCTAGAACACCCTCATATGAAAAGCCTTCACCTGTCAATTTAAGGAGAAGAAAGACAAATCATTCCAGCAACAAAGCCTTCGGTTAGAAACGCACAAGGCACCAGGCCTCTCTGCGTGGGATCTGAGTCCTCTCACACACACTCGACCTCAGCCTCCCCACTGTGCGGCCCATCAGGGAGCAACAGCAAGCAGGTGCGCAGAGGTCTTTCTCGGGATCTCTTCCTCCTACTCCAGCGCCATCCCTGGACTCACTTTCTTTCTCCCTTTTTTTTTTTTTTTTGGTACCAGGGATCGAACTCGGGTCCTTGTGCTTGCCTGGCAGGTGACAGAACCACTGAGCTAAATCCCTGGCCCTGGACTCACTTTGTCACACACAGTCTGAGAGCAGGGAGGCTCGGGCTGTGGTTCCAGACGCGCAGGCTCCTGTGGGCTCCGGGGTCTGGCTCATCAGGTGACTTCCTTCCAGGCTGCATGCCTCTCGTGCACGCCACACTGGTCCTAACCAGCCCTGCAGCCCCATGAGAGCAGAGGGAACTCAAGACACCCGGGGTGGAATGCAGTGAAGCCCCACTCTGCGCTTGGCACCATGGAGGAATCACAAGGCATGAAGGTTTGCAGTCTAGTTTGGGAGGCAGGGCAGGGGACAGAGAGAGGTAGTGGTGGGCTCCTGGGGTCCCCAACAGCGGGGTGAGCTGGAGCAGGGGACACAGAGTGGGTTTTCGGAGGTGAAGACTGCAAAACTGTGCTCTGGACACTCGTTCTTTGCAACAGGAAGGAGTCTGAGGTGGGGTTCAGTGTACAGTCCCCCACCTTCCAGGGTCCAGGTCTACAGATTCTACCAGCTGAAGTTCAAAATGTTCACAGCCAGCCTTTTTCCTTGTTATTTCCTAAACGACACCACCAATTATGCAGCCCTCACTTTGTGCCAGCTGTGATACGGAGCCTGTAGATGATTCAGAGTATGGAGGCCCATGTGTGCAGGTTCTGAACAAACACTGCACATTGCACATAGGGCCTCAGATTTGGGTGTATGGGGGGAGGGGGTGGCTGAATCCCACAGCTGAGGAGGCCGAGGGACAACTGTACTCACGCGAGGGACACTGATCGTGACACTAACCTGACTTTAATATGGATTCGCTCTGTCTCTCTGGATGGGATGGTGCAGGCCTGTAATCCAGGACTGGGGAGCCTGATGCAGGTGGATCACTGTGAGTTCGAGGCAGCTACACAGTGAAATCCTGTCTCAAAAAACAAGTCGCTCGGGACATGTGTTGGGCTAGAAGCAGTTCCATTCCATTAGCAAGGAACATCTGTAATGTCCAGTTCTACTGAAAGGGCCCAGGGCTCCTTGGGAAGCCATTATCCCTGGTTTGGGGCAGAAAAATTCCAAAAACCAGCAGGGAAGAATGAAAAGAACAAGTTTGAGAAGTCTACATTTGGGATAATTTTAGCATTAGAAAAGCAGGACTGCAGTACATTGAGACACATCAGACACAAAAATCCATGAATTCATAATGATATTCCAAAAGTATTTTCATAATTTCATTTAGAGGTAGCCAGAGGAGCACCTCATTAATCTGACATAAAGGGAAGGAATCAAATGTTTATCCTGCCATTTCCAACACGAGGGGCATGATTGCATACAGAAGAATCACAGCTAGCATACGTCAAACCTCAGACCATCACCAAACAAAATCATTGTTCTGGGCAATGATTATCAATGGCTGCTAAACACTGTCACGTGAAATGTTAATAGGGAAACTCACAATAGAGAAATCAGCTGATGAGATTTGAACTCCCTAATCAGTTTTAACGTCAGTAAAATCAGACATTCTGTGCTTTCTGAGCAGAAAGAGAAGAAAGTTCACAGTATCACCTATAATAAATATTCTTCTCTTGCTCTGTCTCTCTCTTTTCTTTTGGAGACAGAGTCTCGCCTGCAGTCAGTCTGGCCTTGATCTCTCTATGTATCAGTAGCGCAGGATGGTCTTAAACTCATGATCCTCCTGCCTCAGCCTCTGGATAGCTAGGATTACAGACATGCAATACCATGCCTGGCTTATAAAGTATTCTTACAAACAAACAAATCTAGCTCCT